AGAAGTTTTCGAGAAGAAGAAAGGAGTCAACATAGTGAAGATTCACATTGTGATTGAAAGGTTTAGATATGATTTCAAAGATGGAAATTTGAAACTGTTGCGGTCAGGAATAGATAATGGGTCCAATATGTTATGTGCTTTAAAGAAGCTCAAGCTTTAATATGGCAAAATTATTTTTTATTTTTTATCTTTTTTTTTTTTTTTCAGCTTACAAAGTTAGTCGTTTTACAATACAATAAACTATTAAAATTACTTTACAAATATATATATACAAATCGTAATAACAGTTTAAACTAGGTTTCCGAAAGAAGATCACTAAGATCTTATGATCGGAACCTTAAAAAACATTTATAAACAATATAATTTACGAATACCTTGTAAAGTATACGTTACAGTAAAGTAAAATATATATATAGAACTTTTACATTAGCAAGTCTTTAAATATAAATAGTTGTTAACAACAAAACTTTAGGGAAAAAATAATAAAAAGTTAAATAATAGATAAATTAATTAATAATACTCTAAAATGTTATCGAGGGAAATTATTAGATTTTTAATTTTGTTTTTAAAAAGACAAAAAGAATTTGGTCGATCAAAATCAACATTAGGTAAAACAAGTTTATTCCATAGGTGCGGTGCACGATAGGCAAGACAAAATTGATTAAAATTTGTTTGACAAAAAGGTTCGTTAAAGAAATTTTTTCTTTTAAGAGTGTATTTGTTGCTGGGTTTTAAACTAAAAAAATCTTTAAAGACTGGGGGGGATAGATTGTCTTTCCACATATAAACAAAACATAAAATTTTTAAAACGTTGAGTTCATATATATTTAAAATTTTCATCTCAATAAAATAAGGTTTACAATGAGAAAAACGATCAGCAACGTTAATTATGCGAATTGCTCGTTTCTGACAGCGATAAAGACGAAGTAATTTACTTTTTTCAGTACTTCCCCAAGCAATATTAGCGTAATTATTATTAATTAGCGCATAATTATCACTAATTATATCTGGTACATACAGGCAATATTAGCGTAATTATTAGCGTATTCGGAAGCTCTGTGCGTTCCCGGTAGCACTCACCGTCTGAAAATAGCCGGTGTACACGCAGATGAATCAGCAATTGAGATCAAAGTATTCTTTAGAAACTTCAAACTTTTGTACGTATTTTTTAGTCCAAGTTCTGCCCGATGGAAGGTTCTCACTAAAGCGACAGAAGTTTTACCGCATAAATTTTCTATGACAAGATGGAGCTCTCGTATTGACGCAATCAAGTTACTTGCAAAGAGCCCGGGAGAAATGTTGGCAGCTCTTGAACAATTTTTTAGCAAACTGAAACTCTCTCAGTCCGACCATGGGTCAGGCGTCACTAATCTTTTGATTATTTTGATTAAAGAAGGTTTGTTTTAAAATTCATTTTTAAGCTCTTTATATACCTTTCTCAAAGATTTCTCAAAGATTGACTTTTTGTTTATTCGCTTTAAAACTAATATTTTAATCCATATTTCAGTTTTAATTAATGAACCGATTATCAATTAAAAAAATTAATAGTAACTTAGAAATACAATGTGATGTACCAGAATTTGATAATTACTGCGTTCATAAAACTTTAAATTTTGTAATTTAAAGTTTTATGAACTTGGTTTGTAATAGGGGCGCCAAACCCCATTTTTGACCCGGGCACCATTGTTGCAAAGGCCCTTTGCATTTAAAGCCCCTTACTGCAAGATACACTTGTTTCAATCACGGGATATTGTATGCCATCAATCAGGGTTTTGCGCCAGATGTTATTTATACTGATCCAGGATTTTGCGGCAGACATATTTATACAAAAGCGTTCAACAAGGTACCGCCTAAAAAACTTTGTTTAACCTGAAAGCTTATAGCACTTGCATTGAATTACATAACTGGATTAAAATTGGTTGACCAATAGAAAACAACCTGTCAAAATAGATAATACACTGTTCCCATGGAGAAAAGTAGTTAGCGGAGTATCTCAGGGTTCAGTTTTAGGACTGCTCTACATTAAGAATTTCCCCGATTTAATTTTGAGTCATATAAGGATGTATTTAGACGACAGCAAGCTCATAGGTGTTATCATGTCTGATAAAGATGCCCAATGTCTTCAAAAAGAGTCTTAATAACGCCTCATGCCGTTTAACAATGAAAAATGCAAAATAATGCACATGGAAAAAAAAAAAAAAAAAGCTAAATCATCTCTATCCAATGGAATCACAAAATGGTCATCGCAAGCAACTCGAAACCACAGCAAATGAGCGTGATTTGAGGGTTATAGTATATAATATCCTTAAAGTGAAGTTACAAGCTGAGCACGCTGCTGCAGCTGAAAATAGAGAGCTGGGGAAATTTAAAAAGGGATTTATAAGTATAAATAACTATTTGGCGTTTCCAGTATACTAATTGTATTTGACTATTTTTAGAATCCGTCCCAGCTTGGTCTCCTTATTGCATATAAATACAATTGAAAAAGTTCAACACCGAATCACAACTTGGATTACGCTAATAAATCACTCATACGAGAAACACGTCTTATATTGACTACCCTTTAAACTCACTGCATGCTTGTTGACCTTATAAACAAAATAATTAATGGAATTGATTCAATCAATTTTGTGGCGCCACAAATCACACTAGCTTATCGAGAATATAAGTATAGTTTAAGAACAAGGAGCCAAATTTTCGAATTAGTCACCGAAAAAATATTAAAACACGATGAAAGACGTGATTTCTTCACTAATCGAGTAGTTAAAAATTGGAATTCCTTAGTAAACGTACTATTGCTCTAAGCTTTTAAATGTAGACTTGGATAACACAATTTATTTACGTTATTTGACTGACGCAACTATATTTGCAAATGTTGTCAGAAAAGAAAAGTCCTTGTTTGCCTCTCCATCAATAATTAGTATATGCATTTTGAACAAATTATTTACCGCAAACTGTTTTTATTGTGCACGATTTCTTTAAACTTGTACCACTGGCCGCACAAATCAATGGCTACTTCACATGAACCATAATGGATACATAATTGGAAATATTAGTTAAATTGAGTTTGGAATATGATTAGCAATTGCATTTTTTATTTAAATTTTCATATACTTGGAAACATTAAGTGTTTTTTTTAGTTCGCATGTCTGTTTTAGTGGGGCGCCAATTTTCAGCATTGCCCTGGCCGCCAGAAACCCTAGCTACGCCACTGTGGATTTTATTACAAGCTTAATATTCAATATTTTCAAATAAAATTTTATTTCAAATGTATTTAAAAAAATTTAAATGACTTTTTTACTAAAAAATTTATCATTTTGTTCATAATACTAATGGATAATACAAACATACCTAATATGTTATCGCTTTGAAGCTTTTTCTAAAAAATATTTATAAAAATGTTAAATTGAGCTATCAATTACAAATAATAATAGTCAAAAATTGCTACTGGGAATTATTCTTGTCCATTATTACTTACCTTGGTCTCGCTTTTTTTGTTTTTCCATAACTAATATAGAAATGAGTAAGAATTTTTTAAAAAATTATTTTTTCTCCACCCATTGCGCAACGGTGGAAAATAAATACCATGTTCGAATTAAAACGCATTAGAACTTTTAAAGGTCGTTTTGCTGAATTAGGTTCCAATTATCGATTTGATAATAGAGAGCATCAGATTAAAGTTGATGTGTTTTCTTGCGTTTTGGATTGTATCCAATGCGTAATTCCTAAATTATTATGCGACTTAAAGGAATGGCAGCTATTAGTAATCTCTTCATTTTTCCGTAATCAAAAAACATTGTCGAGTCATAAGAAAAAGACATTAGAAAAGTGTATGAATCTTTCAAAAAACGTTCAAAAATCGTTTCTGACTATCTACCAAATCAGTACATTCAAGTAATTTTTTTGGCAAAAATAATTTGACTCTTTTAATGTCTATTAAATAACTTCCTGGCTTAATTCTTAGCAGAAATGGCTCTTTAGAGTGAATTTTCAGAAATATATGTTGCGTTAATGTTGTTTTTTAACTTTTTCAGTAACAGTTGCGTCAAAAGATCAGTTAGCAAATTAAAGTAATACAAAATTTTTAAAGAAATTCTATCGGGAAAAGTAAATTAAATGATCTTGCATTACTATCCACAGAACCGATACTTATTAATGATTTTGACGATACTTTTTAATGATTTTGCTGTTGCAAAAATAAGAGGAAAAAATATTTTATTTTTGTTATACAATCATTAACATTAATCAAAAATTTGAATAAAACAAATTTTTTTGCATTTACTTTCAAAGTCCTTATTCAGGTCAATTAAAGTCCTTATTCAGGCCAGAAATATATTTTGTCATCTGGAGTAATAGGTACGGTGAAACGGGGGGGGGGGGCATTTGTTCAGGCTAGCCTGTAGGACCAAAATTTTTAGCTAACGCCACTGTAAAAATTATGATTATATTCTCCACAAAAAAATAAAGCATAAAAAGTTTGTACAAAAGTTTCTAGGGGAATAGACAAAAACATAAACTCAAGGGCAGGACATAGCAACGCTAATAAGATAATTCTTACAACGATATAAATTTTTACAACGTAGTATGAAAATAAAGTTGAATACTCAAAAAAATTATGTTTAAAATAGAAAATGTTCTTAAGAGCGCTAAAAGGAAAAAAAATGTCAAACCAATTTGTGTTTGGCTTTAGAAATTGAAAAAATAATACCCGATAAAAAGAATACAACAAAAAGAAAGACAGAAAGCTGTCTTTATGCTTGACTAGTTTAAGTATACATTAAAAGAAGATATTGTAACTGCTATTATCGCTATTACAAACAACAATGGAATTAGTTAACACCGTTGACAATGTTACCGTAAATACAGTAAATATTGCTTTACTATTATTTGTATTTTCCTAACTGTAGTAAGTATATTTCTTATTTTATTTTTCTCATTAGTTATTGTAATACTTAATTTTACTAATTTTTTATATTCATTTGAAAAAAAATCAGTCAGCTGTTTTCTCTATGCTAAGCAATGTACGGTCTTTCTTTAAATGTAAGCCTCGATCAGATTAAAGCAAAGTTTAGTATGATAGAACAACTAAGCGAGCAAAAGTTTACAAACAAAAAAAACAAAACAAAAACACTAACTCAGAAAGGGTGTCGTGAAGTTTATTTTTGTTCATGTTACTATTTAACCTTATTAAATATCATTATTTTTTAAATAAATAAAATAATAATCTTTTATTTTTTTTATTAACATTTTTTATTTATTTCAAAGAATACACAGATAATATTTCAAAATAATTCGTTTGCATATATATATTCATATATATATATATATATATATATATATATATATATATATATATATATATATATATATATATATATATATATATATATATATATATATATATATACATATATATATATATATATATATATATATATATATATATATATATATATATATATATATATATATATATATATATATATATATATATGTGTGTGTGTGTATATATATATATATATATATATATATATATATATATATATATATATATATATATATATATATATATATATATATATATATGTATATATATATATATATATATATATATATATATATATATATATATATATATATATGTATGTATATATATATATATGTATATATATATATATATATATATATTTATATATATATATATATATATATATATATATGTGTGTGTGTATATATATATATATGTGTGTGTGTATATATATATATATATATATATATATATATATATATATATATATATATAAATATAAATATATATATAATTTGCTTACTCTATATATATATATATATATATATATATATATATATATATATATATATATATATATGTGTGTGTGTGTGTGTGTGTGTGTGTGTGTGTGTGTGTGTGTGTGTGTGTGTGTGTGTGTGTATAATTTGTTTTTTTAGAATTACTGATATATTTTATATTAATAAAACATTTTTTATTTCACATGATATAATAGTATGGTTTTGCGACAAAGTGATTCTGAACCACCATGTTTTACAGACCCTAAAGAAGAAGCATTATACTGGAAAGAATTAGCTCAAAATTATATGCAAAAGTAAGAACTGTTAAAATTCATCCCTTATAAAAATGTTATTTTGTATTATGTTTTATATATTATTTATTTTTTTATGCAATTAGTATAAATTTGAAGTTAAACCTTATATTATATTGATTTCTTATCAAGCATGTAAAATAATCTGTTAGAAACACCCAACACCTGAATAGCTTGAAATGAGTTTTTAACTAGTTTCAAATAGTTTTTAAAAAATACTATTTTTAATGATAATTTTAATATAAAATAGATTAAATAGGGGTGAAACAAAACAGTGGGAAAAACTGAACACTTATGAAATTTAATTTTGCATTTTAAAAAATGTAACAAATTTCTTTCTTATCTTAACATTTCTATAAGTGAACTAAAATATGTTAAATTTTTAAAAAATATTGTTCTTAAATTTTAGCTTGCAGCTAAACGTGATTTTTTTATTTTAATTACAGCTTTGCAACTAAACATGATTTTTTTATTTTAAAAAAATTAGAGAGTTGCAAATAAAATAATTAAGTTAATTTATTTACTTTATTTATTAAAATTTTATTACTTTATCAGCGATTTTGTTGTGAAATCAAAGATTATTTTTTCAAACACCATTTATTAAAATAATGTTGCTGTATATATTGTTTATTAAAAAATAATCAGTGCGCTTTAGCTTGTGTTATAAAAAAAAGTTTAATGTACATTTTGTGCAAGTTTTTGATTCAGCCTCTGAGCACATTTACAAGGAATTATTAATGTGTTTTGAAATGTTTTGGAAGGCAAATTGGAAAGATGATGTTTTGGAAGGCAAATTGAAAAGATAATTACAATAAAAATGAGCTAATTTTAAATTTAAATATTAAAAAATATTTAGTACTAGTTTTAAATAAATTTGACAGTTAAATGCAATATTAACTATGATTTTGTTAAACTTAAATATATTTTTTAATCAGAATTAAATTATATATTTTTTAAATCAAAGTTAAATTATATTTATTTATTATCAGAATAAAATTATATATATTTTTATTAAATTGGTTTTATTATTAAATAGAAGTTAAATTGAATTTTTTGTTATTGTAATTAAAACTTTTATGAATATTCTTGTGCTTGCAAGATGATGAATAAAATTTTTTACAAAATATTTTTTACTATATATAATTTTTGGTATTTTTTCATTTTTATATATATGTATATATATATATATATATATATATATATATATATATATATATATATATATATATATATATATATATATATATATATATATATATATATATATATAAATGAAAAAATGCTAAAATTGTGGAGTAAAAATGCTAAAGAATTTTATTATACAAAAAAATGTTGACACTTGTAAAATCTCTTCTTCTTTTAAATTAATCCTATCATTTTG